GTCGCGGGGGGGGGGGGGGATGGGACACGCCTAAATCTCAAAGTCCTAATTTGCAGAGGTTTAGAAGCTCCTTATTTCTCAAGGATAGTCAGAGTGCTTTTACCTCCTGCACACAATCTGAGCCAAAATTTGAAATACAAAACCCAGTTGCTCCATTAACTTCATTGAATCTCACTGGTTTGGATAGGCATAGAGGGCTATGTGCAGACTGCATTGGCCCACACAATGAAATAGCAAAAAGAAAATGCTCAGAACAATAAAAACAAATGGTAAAACAAATCTGCTAACAAATTGGGGTAGAAGTGTTTTTTAAGTTCTCAAGCCTGTCAAAAGATAAGAATAAAACTACAATGCAACAAATATCAAAGAAAATATCTAGGGCAGCATGTGAACATTATCCCTCAGTATCTCACCTGATCAACCAAAAACACCTTGATTCTTTCATTTCCCAGCCACTTTTGAAATTCTTTCCCCCAGTTCTTCACCAGGCTCCCTGGAGTGACTATCAGAACTCGTTTTATTACCGGCTTGCATCCATACGGCCCCTGACGCAGGAGAGTCCAGGTGAGTGAAATGCACTGCAGCGTTTTTCCTAGGCCCATTTCATCAGCAAGAATAGCTCCATATCTACCGTTCACTCTACAAAGTGATAATTATATTTTCATACATTTTAAAGGGAACAAATACCTGACCTCCGTATTGTTAAAATTAAATATACATCCACTTAAGTTTACAAATATTCAGATTTACTGCAAAACCAAAGAGGTACACCTCACCAAGGGTAAATGGATAACATGCAGGAAAAGAGACAAAGATAAAAAAGAATAGATTAACATTGACAAGTAACAGTGCAGTGCAGTGCCTTCTGAACAAAATACTTCTACAGACCAGGGTTCCCTCTAAGCTGAGTTAGTGTAAGCTAGCTCACAGTTTTTTAGCCTCCAGCCCACACATTTTTGTCTTAGCTCAGGAAGGATGGCTCCAGAGCAAACTTAATTTATGCTGTAGCCAAATCGCTCACTCACAACTTTAATGCCAGTAGCTCACAAAGTAGAATTCTTGCTCACAAGATACCACGGCTTAGAGGGAACATTGCTACAGACTAATGTGGATGTTCTGCTTAGGAGCTGAATCATTGCATGGAAGGTGAGGGGATTCAGGTTGTGATGGCAGGCCCTTCCATGACCTATACAAAATGATCAGCATTTTGACTGGAGGAAGAGGCCAAGTTGGAGGAAAATATCAAAGCAGTAGGATATGTCCATGCTCGTTGCAGGCACACAGACTCTTTCCATGGAGCAGTCAGGTACTCTGCATTTTGTAGGCTACCAGAACACACGGTAACCATCTTCTCTAGAAGGAAAGAGTAAAGCATTTGGGCCTTTTTAGTTTAGTTAAAATACCACTAAAGGGAGACATGATGGAAGTTTATGAAAATAAGCAATGCATAAAGAGAGAAAAGGAGTCCCCCCCCCCTTTTGTATAACATTAGATCATGGGATCACCTAATGAAGAGTATGTGTTTAAACTGCCATCAAGTCTGAGCTAATTTATGGCAACCCCTGCAATGGGCTTTCAAGGCAAGTGAGAAGCAGAGGTGGTTGGCCATCCTCTGCAGAGTCTTCTTTGGTGGTCTCCCTTCCAAGTACCAGCCCTGCTTAGCTTCCCAGATCTGACAAGCTTGGGCTATATGATGCCACCTTCCCTCCCCTAATGAAGCGTATTGGCAGTAAATTCAGTACCATGAGATATAGAAGCCTTTAAAACGGCATATAGACATATCTATGGTGGATCTACCAATAGACATCAGGCATACCAGCTACATGAAAAGTCAATGCTCAAGGCAGCATCCCACTAAATGCTAACACTACTTGATAGAGGGAAACTCCTGGTGAAGGCCATCTAGAAGGCATTTTTATCCCACCTTTCCTCCCAAGAGCTTAGACATGCTTCTCAGTCCCCATTTTGTCCTCGCAACAACCCTGTGATGTGTGCCAGCAAACTTCATGGCTGAGTGGGATTTTGAATCCAGGTCTTTCATACCCTAGTACTCGACATTCCAACCACTATAACAAATTGGCTTTTAAGTACTGTCTTCATGTCATGCTCGTAGGCTCCTCAGAGGCACCAGGTTTGCCACAACACAGAATGGGATACTGAGTTACATGGAACTTTGTGTCTGATTTAGCAGAACCCTTTAAGTGTTCTTGAAAACCCTGCTTCTTTCTCATATATGGGGAGGTGATCTGGGGGCTTCAAAGAATTCCTAAAAATTTCTTTTGTGGAATTTCCACTTGGCCCAGTCCCATCAACCCCTGATCACAACCCTGTACGCTGACTGATAAAATGATTTCTGAAACACATACATAAGCACTATAGGAGTCAAATCCCCCCTTTTGATTCCAGAAAAGTTTAAGGCTGTTTTTAAAGACCTGGAAATGTTCCAGTTAGCAACAAATAAAGAGATATTCCATGACCCTTTTTCTGAAAAATTATATCCAGATAACTAAAATGAAGCATCTGTCAAGGTCCTGGTCTGTCAAAGGCCCACTGGTATTGCTTGGGATGTACCCCAAAGACAAATTCTTTTGTCTCAGCCCAAAAGAGAGAGAATTGCTCTGTATATAACAAGTTGCCCCATTGGGGCCTCAAGCCAAAGTTGTACCATCAGCATAGTGATGTATTCACTTACATTAATGAACTGAAACAAGAAAATACAGTAGTGGGAACTAAGAATTAAATTAAGAAGCAGGCTGATTAGAAAGTGTCAATCAATGCAACCAAGGGCACAGCAATCTGAAAACACCAAAATAAAGGAATTGCTGCAATCAGTTCACAAATTTACAGAATAATGACAAAAAATGGGCATATTCATGATGTATAAATCCCAAAATTCTTCTTTTAATCAACAGGTCAGATGACGAACATCTCGAGTTTCCAGAGTTCGTTTCGAGGTCTTTATCAAAATTCTGTTTTGCTGTATTTTTCAAACAATCCAATATAAGGAATCTCAAACTCAGAATGGCTACTAATAGCTCTTGTGTTAACCACTAGTTTCAAAATGCATCCCTGCCTCACAATGACAAATATAAGGAAAAGCTCTGAAAGATCCCAATCTATTCTCACTCTGTCATAAATGTATCTGTGTGAGTTTTTTTTAATGTTCATCAAATGTATTATAGAGCTCCTCTTCTTAAATTCGGCCTCTTTTTAAATGATGTCATTTAAATCAGCACAAACTTCAAGTCTGTAGAGAGAAAACTTCGGTGTAGCACTGTAACCTTATTGGATGATAATTGCAAGGACCCAATCTATCAGCTTCTTAAAATATTGTACTTGTAACATTGCATTCCCAGCCCATAGAGATCTTTCCATATGTACCAACGTAAACAGTGTTTTCCCAAAACAGTAACCCGCCTGGACTAGATTATTTAGGAAGATTTGGGTGGTGGCAGAAAGAAGATGCTCTCCATTGGAACATCATAAACTCTAGGCTTTGGGTTAATTTGATCTCTATGGGTGGCTCTTGGTATTCCCTTCAAGGTCAGAAAATTTAAAATGAAAACGAAAACTCAAGCCTAAATCAACTGTAAAGCTAATACTTAATCCCATTCAAAAATCACCAGGTTCAAAATTCTTCACTGAGGGACATTTCCCTTGAACAGTCTGTGAACAAATTGTTATCAGGAGGTGAGGTACTAATCTTTGAAGACTCTGACAGGAAATATTTGGAAAGCAGCAAAGGAAATGTCCCATTCTCAGAAGCATATTTGGTATAGAGGAGTGATTAAATGCTGGCAGAATTCTTATAAAAGCAGGTTGATTAGGGAGCCAGTCAACAGCAGCTAGGTCAGTACAAGGATGTGTTTATACAAACATTTACTCAGTGAAATTTTGATTGCTTTTTTGGGACTGCTGTTTATTCTGTTAGAGGCAAGTTTTAGCATAACCTGCTTTTTATTCCACTGGTCTATGACTGCAATAAAGGACTGAAAGTGTGCTTTCTGTTTTTCAGACCATGTTTCATATTTCATTTGTTTAGAGTAAAGAGCCATGAACTACGCCAGAACTTCGTCAGATCATGAGCAACTGTGTCCTAAAACAACCCAAGACATCCTACACGAGCAGCTTTCTCATATTTTTGCTTATGTTAGGAATATAACACCTTCTCTCGCTTTATGGGAAAGTCTACCGCCTTGAAGTTCCTGCAGTTTTATGCAAAATTCACCGAGCACTCCTCTTCAGACCAACACACTGCAGATTTCAGTCTTTTAGATATCACCTAAGTGGTGACTGAATTAGGGAATCTTATAGCGCTGGAATTTTCTTCACTCCTCCAATTGCATCCTCCTTAACTGGAGTAACTCTATGCTTGGTAATGCAGAGTCAACTTTAAAATCAAACTACAAAACAAAGAGTTGTTTTTTTTACTAAGTATCGCGTTGCTCTTACTATATATAACCAGAGCCTTGGACTTCCTCTAAGATAATGAGTGGGACTACATATATAGGTGGTGGCTGCTTTGGAAGTTTTTCCTGAAAATGTTGAAAAGGTGTTTGACCTACATATTAAAATATAATGTAACTACATTAAACCATTCTTCAGGTATATGAATTGGAATCATCCCTGAAAGCCTCCGGATGCCATCCATTACAAATTACTAAATTATATATTTAGGGACCCGATTTGGGTAGAAAGGTGGCATACAAATGTTTTAAATAAAAAATAAATGTAAATAAATAAATAAATAAAAATAATTTTTAAAAGATTCATGGCAGCACCACTGGCGCCATTTCTCTTTGTAGGTCTCAGGGACGAATGCCCACAGGGCCTTCAGATATCAGACCTAATTTCTCCATAACCAATTTTTCATTTCTTTTGTTTTTAATTACAATAGAAAAGAGAAAGAAAAAACCCCAATTCTGAACACCCATCTGAAAATTAGAAATAGATTTCCAAAACTCCATCGGCACTTTTACTTTTGACCGCTGACTCCGCAGTGAAACCACTTAAACAGTGAATGCATCCTGATGAGCCTTTCTAATGTTCCCAGATCTTCAGCCCTTTGAGCATTTAGGCAGGGCATAAATATTTATGCAGATCAGCTTTAAAAATTTCCCAGCCAAGCCTGTCAAACCACCTGAAAACAAGTTGGATAGTCTCCCTCTCCTGGGCCTCCACAATTATAGCCGTAGATATGCACAGTGCCAGCCTCCTGGATGCCAACAGTGTGAAACTTATGAGATGGTCTAAAAAATTTTTCATCTAGCAGTTTATTCCCAACCAACCTGTACAGTTACAAACACACAGGGGTCATTTCCTGCAGGAGCGCACAGGAGCAGAGCTCCGGCAGTAGAGCCCAGGGGGCGGGCACATGCAACAAGCCATACCCCCTGCTCCCAGCAGCCCTCAGTCAGAGCAAGAAGCAGCCAGGTAAGTTGCAGAGCCCCCCCTCAGCCCCCTGTTCCAAAACAGTCCAGTGGCACCTTTAAGACCAAGTTTTATTCAGGTACAAGCTCTCCCTCCTGTGCGAGGACAGATCTGCACGGTCCCCCCCTCCCCCAATAGCTAGCAATCCAAAACAGTCCAGTGGAGCCTGAGCGGTGGGTGTTGCCTTCTGACACACTTCCAGTGATGTCAGGGTGTGTGGCATATGCAAATAAGTTATGCTAATGAGTTATGTTAATGAGCTCCTGCACCTCTTTTTCTACAAAATGACCCCTGCAAACACAAAATCAGAAGTTGCATCCAGGCAACCCTGACACTCACTTATAAAATGGCTAAGAAAAAGATGTGACAGGATCTGTGGATCCTGTCTTGCTCTCCCCTGCTCACCTATTGGATTCACAGTGTCATGTCTTTTAAGACTACATTTAAATCCTGCATTTTGCCCATGGAATTAAAGCTGGCATACATGGAGTTTCCAGGTGGCCTCCCAGCCAGTTCATGACCAGACCTAGACTTGCTCAACCAGCATGATTGCTGCATCCTATGCCTTTAGACCTGGGACTGGAGAATTTGGGCCTTATAATATAGGCTGAGCTTGCTCCAAGCTTTCAATAAAGGTCTTGGCAAGAGTCCATACTTACTAGTGATGCCTACAAGTAAGAGTCTATAGCTTTTGCCAAAGATCTCTGACAATAATCTTCTGAAAGAAAGAGAGCTGAGCACACCTCAAGGTGGAATTCCTGCATAGCACAGACTACAGCCATGCCTTCATTTTTCCAGAATTCTTCTCCAGATTTTGGCAAAAATTCTGACCATTACACCACGCTGGCTGTCAAGAACTAAGAGCAGGACTAAACATTATGATCACTATAAGAATGCTACCTCAAATGGCATCCTCTGATTTACCTATTATGGAAAACACAGGCTGGGCTCAGTGTCCCCACCCTCTTTCATATACAACAGTCACAGCTGGTGGTTCTGCTCAGTTCCCTGGCAAGAGTTGTCCAACTTGGACAGCAACCATGGCGCATGTCAAGAAGGTATTACAGCCTTCCCCCCTGTATTATTTTTCTGGCCTGAAATGGTTCCGGGGGTGCTATTTGATCTGTTGGGGAAACCCACCCATGAGTGCTTGGTAGCCTACTCCCAGGGCCATTACAGGTATGGGGGGGGGGAGGCCAGAACCCCTTCTCCACACATGCCACAGTCATAATCCACACTGGACAACACCTGCCCAGGAACGGAGGGGAACCCACACAACTCACATGTGTCTGTTACGCAGGACAGATGCTGGGGAATCTAAACCCAGCCTGTGTTCTCCATAAAATGTGAATAGCCTACCTCCGTCTTTTGAAAGTCCTTTATACTTGCCACATGATTTGACATCATTGCTTTGTGAGCTGGCAATGTCATCCCTTTATTTGCAGCAGCAGCGGCGTGCCTAGCACGTAACACTGTCATTGGTAGGAGCCTGGGAATGTTACAGCTAAAGAGCTGAGACCTTACTGCCTGGATATTCATGGCAACTTTCATAGACTGAGAAGCTCTAAGGATCTTTTAGAAAGCCTGCCAGACACAAATATTTCAAGATTTGAAAAAAAGGCTTTCTTTCTTTTCTTTTTTTAAATGCATTGCTGCAGATTACTGTCAGGGCAAATGTTAACTTCTAAACTCTAAAATTAATTTATAAAGAAGCCACTTTAAAATGTGTACACAACTGAGCTATGGAAAATTCTTGTCCTCTTACCTCATTCCCATCACGCATTCATAAAGAAATATCACTCCTTCTCGCTGGTGCGGCCGAAGATGATTTACAATGTGAGGATCTACGACCACGTCCACAATAGGCAAATCCACTTTATTGAACATCTTCTGGTGATTTACGGTTGGGCGTGGCATAACTAAGCAATCTTAAATTTCAGACACAGGTATTGTGAATACAAAATCATTGTTTAACAAGCAAAGGTTATTTGGCTTCCAGTTGGGGAGAAAAACACTGATTTCCTGTTTGCTGAATTCTAGTAAACACTATAAAATATTATTTTGTTTTTAACTTCAAGATTCAGTAAACCAAAGTAACATGTCAGGAGGGAGCTACTACAACGTTATCAAATAGCTTTTACTAAAGAATTGGTTTAAATGTTAAATGCAGGAATTTAAAAGTTTTTATAATATATTACAGGCATTGTTTCTGAATCCAAGCACACATCTTTCTCCTTGTTTTCCTCTTCTGAGTGATCTGTGGCTAAACACTAACTCCAGTGTGATCAATAAATGCACATCTGTGGTTAACTGGAGCTGGTTTTCCCTGGATGATGGGGTGAACTCTCGACTTTCTTCTCAACATCTCAGGGTTAAGCATGTTGTTCAGAGTCACCCAGCAGCACATTACAGCTTATTTGCATACATTACCTGGAAGTTTCCACCTTCACCCCACTCCAAATATTGGCTTTCCATAATCTAGGAATCTATCACGTGTCCTTCCTCCCATCAGTTCAGAGTGGTGTATGTAGGGATCTCTGTTTTACCCTCACAACAACCCTGTGAGGTAGGTTAGGCCAAGAGTTAGTGACTGGCTAGAAGTCACCCAGTGAGCTTCATGGCTGAGAAGAAATTTGAAATCTACTTTCTAGTCCTAGACAAACACTCTAACTACACCATACTATCTATCCCAACACTACTTTGCCTGAATTAATTTCCTTTGAGAACTTGGTTCAAGCAATGAATATTTCAAAGGGCTACTGTGTGACTTCTGGGTAAATGAAATGTTATCTTTTCCAATCAGACTAGCTGCAAAACGTCTATCTATACTTATCTGTTACTAGTATTGTGCTTCTCCAACCCCTGCATATCACATCATATGAACTTAACTGGTAGTGTTCCAGTAATAATGCTGTACTTGATTTGTTAAAAAGTGAAGGACAAGAAGAAACCCTTTTAAATCTTCATTACCCATTCAGTTTCTTTAGCAGAGGTTAAAACAGAAGTAGAGACAGGTTAAGCAGAGAAATGTTACAAATCCTCACTTGGTGCACATGGATCATGACGAGGTTTACAGTTCTGGGAGCCTTTGAGCATGTTTCCTTGAGTGCTGGTTTTGCAGACATTTTTGAGGGGATTACAGAATGACTTCACGATGGATTGCGAGAAAGTCAACGTATCTACTACAATCTCCCCACCAGACTGAAAACATTTGCCACTTTGGAAATCCTCTTCCTGAATGACACCCAGCACTTCAATTTCTTTGCCTCCAATCTTGAGAGTTTGACCTTCATCAAGATTTTCCAGGTCTTTGGCTTTGTATCCAGTACCTATGAGAAGTGAAAAATGTATGATGCTATCAATTTTATATTTTTATATTGTGTGTGTGTTGATCGCTGAAGAGAGCCAAAAGAATAAGAGGAAAAAAATTACAACTTCTGTTCTTGTTTTCCCTTTGTCTTCATTGTTTCTCTTATGTTAAATTTTTAGAGTAACATTCTCATGGCAGAGACTAGACTTCTACTCTGTAAAAGCACCTGCATAGCCCAGGCTAGCCCAATCTTGTCAGATCTTGGAAACTATGCAGGGTTGGGCCTTGGCTAGTGTTTGGACGGGAGGCCACTAAGGAAGTCCAGGGTTACCATGCAGAGAAAGGCACAATGGTAAACCACCTCTGAATGTCTCTTGTCTTGAAAACCCCATGAAGGGTCACCATAAGTCAGTGGCAACTTGAGGGGGGGGCAGAATTAAACAAAGGATACCAATAAGCAGGCCCCCCTGTGACTATGCTTAATGTAAAAAAAATATTGGAAGATCAATCACAGATGTCCGACTCCTAGCATAACACGCAGTTCAGCCCTCAGATTTTATCCATGCTGGTGGAAAGGAAGGTAAGTTGAATTTGTGGAAAGCTGATTTTGGGGGTTGGTTTGTTTATCTAGAAAACTTTCATGCCACCTCTCCAGGACCCTGCTTGAGGTAGCTCATAAAAGACAAAATAACAAAACTAAAACATTAAAATTCAAGATTAAAAACCCAGGCCAATATAAACACTTAGACCAAACAAACAGGCCACTGACAGCTTAAAATAACAGTGTTCAGACTAAAACAGCATTAAAAGATCAACCCCTTAATGAAAAGCCTTAATTATAAACTTGAGTGAACCGAAACATTTTGGCCTGGCAAGTAAACGAGGGCAATGTAGGTGCCAGGCAAGCCTCGAGGGGAAGGGCATTCCATGTGAGGTGCCACTACAGGAAAAGCCCTGGTGTCTCTGGTTACAATCTACCTCGCCTATGAAGGCAGAGGCACAGAGAGCAGGGCTTAAGAGGCAGATCTTAACTGGTGGGAGAGACAATGTGGAAGGAGGCCAGATGTGGCGAATGCGCACAAGAGGCAAGCCTGGGATATGGATCAGACACTTCATGATCACTCTACTCCCCCTGACTGCTCTCCTCTCTGTGGTTCACAGAAGCACATCAGCCCATTCACATGAATAAGCTTTCAGGTCTATAATACTGCTGCTTCTTCATCTCTATCCATTTGCAGTGAGTTAAAGTGAAGCAGTTACGAAAGAGATGGACACATTTAGTGTTGAAATGTGTCCTCTGGGAAATGAAGGTAAAGCGTCAAGAGTGGGCTCCACCTACAGTCACACTTTCATAAGACAGAATTGACGGCACAAGACAATCCAGTAGCTCCCCACACGGTTAGGCTTGCCTACCACAACCCACGCATTCATTTTCAAACTGACGTGTGTATCTTTGGGAAACAGCTGCATTCAGCTCACTCCCACTACAGAACCATCAGAAATAAAGGGAAAGTATCAGTCAGATGGGTTAGCAAGAAAAACAAAGCAGACAAACAATAGAGGCATTAAAATTTCTTGTGGCCGGCTGCTTCAAGACTTGGCTCACAATTTCAAATCAAACACAGCTTCTGGTGCCTCAGCCTCTTCTCTCCCCCAGTTCCCATACAGACTTTTCCAGCTGGCATCTCTTCTCTCCACGATTTGGAACTTTGTCTCTTCCAAGTTACAACCCCACATTGCCTAAGGATCAACTTGCTTACCTCGGATTTTTTCCTTCTCTGGTGTCTTGACTCTACTATGCTCACCAAGACCTTCTGCACATAGTGGGCAGAGACTGTGGCGCAAGACTGTGGGGACAGGGGGACTTAACTTTTCAGTGTTGTGCCAAGGCCACGATGTCATTTCTGGCATGCACTGGAAGTGACATTATTGTACTGGGGCAAAACAGAGTTTTGGTCAAATGCTAGAACATCACTTGACACAATGACATCACTTCCAGGTTGTGCCAGAAATGACAGGTCATTGCCGCAACACCAGTCACTCTCCCCGTTTCCCCCCCACCGCCCAGCTGAGCCGCAGAGTGCAGAGCCAGTGGGTGGTGGGAGTTCTTCTGCCCAAGCAGGAGACCTGGTCCTTGTCTCTCCCTTTTCTCTAGGATCTGAGCACCTCAGCAAATAGCAGACAGAGACCTATTTGCCTCTCTGTGACATTAGGAAAGTTCAGCTAGTCACCAGCAAAGGTACGGCTATGAAATTTCTGAGGGCTTTGCATTCATACAAAAACTTCATTTCATTCAAAAAATGCATTATTATGAGGCCAGTGCTTATCTTCCATGCATGCTGACAGACATTACCTCTCCCAATGTCTTTGCCTTCCATGTCCTTCAGTATCGTGGATTTTCCCTTCACAATGAGAACGGCATCGCCTTCCCACTTCTTATGTTTTTTCTTTGAGATCTTACACCACACGGCACTGAAATATTTCGTGAGGCAGCTTGGCTCCTCTTGCTGCCTTGAAACTTCCGTTGCCTCTCTGCATGCTGGGCCTGTAAGGGGGACAAGATACATCAGTAAGGAAAGAGAGAGCTTGTAACAGATCCCTCAGTTGCAGACTGAGCCCTGCGTTTCAACTGAAAGAACAGACATTGAGACCAACAAACCACTTTGCTCCTTCAGGTGGGTTATCCATTCTTTTCATTCATAAAACTGCTCTATGAACAATGTTTATCATTCATTTTTCACCATTAAACCTTGATGACAGCCACAGGGTGCAAGCCAATTGGCACCCTGCAAAGCTGGCTTCTGCTACAAACTTTCAGACTCCAGCTCCTAACTATGGAATAGGCACATTTAATTTTAGGAAGTGAGGATGCTTCTAGATTGGTTCTGCTGTTCTAGCACACTAACTAGGCATGCTGACCTATCAAGGACTGTGCTTTCCCATCTAATCTAATGAAATAATAGAAACCATTTTTTGTAAGTTACTGAAACCAGAGATGGCATACTTCCTATTCAGAGTTGCTGGCAATCTCCTTTCATATAGTAAGCATAATTCAGATTCAAAATAACACAGAGTAGGAGACATATATGCAACAAGGAAGATCTTATACTACATGCAGAGAGCAAGATGTATGAAATTTAAGGAACACCTTAGGCAAACAGTTGGGAAAGAAGTGCTTCCAGACATAAAGGATCAATGGGGTCTGTCATGAAGTCAAGAACTGGAAAGCAGGCATGACAGATACAGAGAGACAGATACAGAGATACAATAATGCATAGAAATTCCTGTTTACATTACAACCATAATTTAAATTCTCACTGCAATCAACATAAAATGCTTGACCCATGGCTAATTTATTTTACTAAAGTACACAGCCTTACCTAGGCTGCATCCACATGTCCACAACTAACCATGTTCCTTAGGTTGCTGCTATGAAAAAAAACTCTAGTGGCATGAGGGAAGTGGTGACTAAAGCAAGAAAAAAGGTACTGATGTGGGCAAAAATGTGCACTTTCCTATCCACAACTGCCACAAAAGGACAAATGCAACTTAAGAATCATCTTCGTGTATTATATAAATGGACTGTTTTCTGATTGTTGGGCCCTTTTCTGATATAAACATTTTGAGTCCCCATCACACTAAAAGGATGACTTTGTTATGGATAACAGGAGCACAGCTACCCAAGCAAGCTGCAGAAAACCAAAGATGAAAAATCCTATATATAACTGGGAACTTAGGGGAACTTTGCTTATTTGCTTGCCTGTCTAGCACAGTACTGATTCATAACAAACGACTGTTCAATTTTTTAGACATCTAAAGGGCACATTTCAATACAGTAGTCGTAGTCTCCATAGTTCATTCTGGTCCTCCACATTTATATAATCCAAACATGTCTGCCTGTATAAAACGTGTGGTATTATCCTGGGAGAAGACGACGGTTGGAAAGCCAATTCATATTTTTGGGCAATTTATGCATTATGCAGGAATGATTACTTATAGACAAGCTAAAGATATTCTTGGAAGGGGAAGACATAATCTTTCCAAACCACATTACATAAGTCTGATTTACATAAATGTAATCCACTCAGTAATTCAAGCAGGAAAGTAACAACAGAGTCCAAATTTAACAGGTTTTGTGCAGCAGCAATCATAGGTATCAAAGACATACACTTTGCCCCAGTAGAAAGTCTTCCCAATATACAGGGACCTTAACTTTAGTACAAGTTAAAAACAAGATTTCCAGGACCTTGTAATTCAAATTATAGTGATGCAGATTATTTTATTTAATAAAATCATAGTGTCTTGCTATCACCTGCATCCAGAACAGCTCAAATGAATTTGGCAAATTACAAACACATTCAAGATATTCTTTTCCATAATGGGGTTCATACTCTATTCTAACTCCAAAACACTGTTAGGCAACAGTACAGGAGAAGAAAGAACCAAACTTGTGAGTGGTTTGGGAGCAGCAGTTCAGAGGTGGAAAGCCCCTGAACGTCTAGTAATGTATTCTCTAGACTGCACCCAGGTTTTGTTTTTCATTTTTCTTCCTGAAATACTTATGCATGCTTTCGCCCAAAGGCAGAACTTCAAATGTTCAGGCAGTGTCAAAAAACCAGAAGGAACTGAAATTCCCTGCCATCTTCCAGACTTGGATATATTCCAGCTCTTTTCTTCTAGCTGAATGCAAGCCTTATATTTGGAGTCATAGCCAACCCCAGCCTCATAGAGTGTCAAGGCCCTCCAGCCACTGAGGTAGCCCTGCTTCAACTTTCTCAACATTTTCTCCTGCTCTTGGTTCCCCCATCCTTGCTTGCCTGTTCAAGGCCTCTTTGTCCATCATCAACCTCTGTTTTCACTGGACTGACCATAAAACAAGCCTCACTTTAAAAAGGATTGCACCTAACTAGCAGCCTCTGAACAAGTATCGCCAGCATTACAATCATCTTAGCCCATGGCAGGTTCTATTATACATTACAGCTGTTGTGAACATTGAAAATCTTCTTTGATAATTGTGAGACGTCACCAGAGGATATGAATTACTGAGAGACAGTTTTTGTCCTACATCTTTGTTCAGAAGATCTTCCTTCAAAGCGGCAAGACATTCCGGAGATCACCATCAATATATTTTTCTATGACTATGTATACTATTTTTGTTCACTTTTCCATGATTCTTTAAAGATATATATTAAGCGTCACTTTTTCAGTTTTTCTTGTTCTCCATATTAGGCTTTTGACACAACCATAATTAAGGCGGTGAAAAGACAATTGGTTTGGAGAGACACACATTCATTTTTTTGTCTCACCAAGGACTTGAATTAAAACAGTTTTGTTAGTGGAATTCTGAAGAATTCTTTGGGTACCCTGACTTGGATAGCCCAGGCAAGCCTGATCTCGTCACATCTCGGAAGCTAAGCAGGGTCGACTCTGGCAAGTACTGCGATGGAATACAAGCAATCGGGAGGCGGGGGCAGGCTTTATTCAGCCACCTCTCTGAATATCCTCCAGGCCCCCAATAGGGGTGAGTCACCAAGGGTCGCCATGATTCAAGGTACACACACACACACGAAAAAAAAACAAAAAGAGAGAGAATTCCGTGGGGAACACCAAATTAATTACCAGCTGTCTGGGACATCCTAGAAGAACTTTGCCCAAGATTCATGAACCACAACTGGCCCAAAGTCAAGTGTTCAGATTCCCAAGCAAATTCAAACCAGTTTTGTAGCATAACAACTTGGTTGGTAGCATAAAAAGTTGGTTGCTCCAGGCAACCAAGTCAATTTCCAGGTAACAATGTGATGGGCACAGATCCAGCCTCTCCATCATGAAGGCTTGGACCATGGATCCAAAGCCCACCCAGATTTTCTGGAAGCACACTTAAAAAAAAAATCTCCCCAGCAGGGACCCAATGGATTACATTGTTTTCTTCTTCTTCATTTTATCATTACAACAACCCTGTGAGGTAGGTTAGCCTGAAAGTGGTGACTGACTGAAAGCTTCTCTGAAAGAGCTGGGATTTGAACCTGGGTCTCCCAGATCCTAGTCCAGCACTCTTAAACACTACACCACATTGGCCCAGCCTATCAGGCTGCAGCTGGGCAAAAAGCAACATGTGGGGGTGAACCACTAGAACAGACCCAGAAAGATCAAGCCAACCATCTTGATCCTGTCCCCACCACTGATATCTACTAGAAAGGGCTCATTGCGTCCAACATATTTTTCATGCTCCCAGAGCAATTTTTGAACTGGCTTTATTATTTCGACCTGGGACCTTCTGCACATGCCCTACAACTGAACCACAGCCTCTGCCTAAGATATTCCACTAACCAATAATGTCCTATTATCATCACCTACATATCTATTTCTCAAGTGCGTCTCAATCTGCAGATGCGGCCCACGCTGAAAGAATGGTGATTTTTGCAGAAAAACCTTTACGAATTAAAAAATACATTGGGCATGGTAAAATCCCGCTGAAAACAATAACATTATCCACACATGTGCACATGACTTACCTCAACTGCCAACATGGCTGAGGCTTCCAGGGGCCCTGCTGCCACCAAGGCAGCTCTTGGGACTCTGCTCCTGAGGCAGCTCTCTGCACAAGGGTAACCCCGGCTGCTGAAAAGGTCGGGGCGGGGGAGAGATGGGGAAATACTGACAGAGAAGGGGAGGGGGAAAGAGGGGGTAGATTGATGGAGGAGGGAGAAAGATAGGGGAGTAATACTGTCAGGTAAGGGGGGAGAAAGTGCGGGTGGAAGATTGTTAGAGAAGGGAGGGAGAAGAGTCAGTTTTTATACCCCGCTTTCCTCTGCCCTAAGGAATCTCAAAGCATCTTACAATCCCTTCCTTTCCTCTCCCCAGAATGGGACTGAGAGAGATCTGAGAGAACTGTGACTGGCCCAAGGTCACCCAGCAGGCTTCATGTGGATGAGTGAAGAATCAAACCCAGTTCTCCACATTAGAGTTCACCGCTCTTAATCAGGAAGTAAAGGCGGGGGAAGGAAGCAAAAGGGGGGGGGATGCACCCTCACTGCGAGTTTCTTGTGGAGCCTCACTTGTATATTCTAACAGCTAAGTCAGCCAAATCTGATGATACTTAAATGTAGGAAACAGAGCTGTGAAACGACAAAACAGATCTTTCTAGAATCCTGAAACACACCCCAGGTTTGCAGAAAAATCTGAAATATGTTTAAAAAAACACACATGGAGGGATTTAAAAAAAAACACATGATAAAAGGAGCACCTGTAGCTTTAAGAAACTGAAGCCCTCAGTGTCTATCACTAGGCAACTACAGCATTCTAGGCTTGGTTTTGTCAGTAAGAGGCTGGCGTAGAGGGCAGGGGCCTTTCCAGGACTGTATTGGCCTTTGAGGGAGGACTCATTGGGGCCATGTTTGGCAGCAACCACTGGCCAACTTGATACCACCCTACTTACATGACTCACCTAGGCCTGGCTGCTTGCTATTGTTAAAAAAAAACACCCTATGAAAGCCAGTATGGTATAGCAGACTTTCACATTAGGGTCTGGGAGACTCAGGTTCAAAT